GTGGCTCGTGAATCACGAGCTCGTGGGCCGAGCCGAGCTCGCCCACGAGCAAACGAGCGGAGCAAAAGCTCGGCTCGTTTTGTAACGAGCCACGAGCTCGGCTCGTAGGGCAACGAGCCGAGCTCGTGGGGCAACGAGCCGAGCCGACTCGGCTTGGCCCATTGCCATCACTAGTGTCAGGGTGTCGATTTGTTTTTTAGACAACGGTGTTGCCTTTGGGTAGTGTTAGTAGTTTTGGCAGCGACTGTAGTGGTACAGGTGGCGGTCGACGTTGGTGGTGACGGTGTCGGTGTTAGTAGTGGTTGTTCTGGAGGATTTCTTGTAGTTTTGTGTTTCTGAGTCTAATTAATTTGGTGGATTTCTTTTAGTTTTGAGTTTCTAATCTAATTTCTGAATCTAGTTTCTCCAATTGATTTGGTGGATTTCTGATTGTCGTGGTGTTTGGGTGGCGGTGGTAGTGGTCGTGGCGGCGGTGGTAGTGGTCGTGGCGATAGTGCAGAGGTGGTGGGGGTAGATCTGGTCATTTTAGTTTTCTATGACTAAAAATATAATATGTGACCCTAAAATCTAATAACCTGTGACTAAAAATATAATCCATAACCAACCATTTCGTTATCTGTTACCTAAAAATTATATAATTTGTGACCGTAAAAAAATTTGTGATCAAATAATTGGAAATCTGTGTTCGTGTGACCTTCTGCGACTAAAAATATAATATGTGGCCTTAAAATTCGATAAGCTACTACTAAAAATATAATTCGTGACCAACAATTTTGTTATTTGTGACCTAAAAATTATATAATTTGTGATTGTGAAAAAATCTGTGACCAACTAATTTGGAAGTTTATGACCGTGTAACCTATAAATGTTGATATGTGAACTAATTTTGAAATCTGTGACCAACAAATGAAATGTGACCTACAAATTTTTTGAACTGTGACCTTAAATTAGTCACCGGAATCGGAGCAGTAGTTGGAACAGTCATCGTAATATTCGCCGAAGCAGTCGCCGGAGAAAAGTGGTGACCGGAACGATCGTCGAAATAGTCCCCGGAACGGTATGGGTGGTGGAGGTGGGGTGGGTTCATTATATTATATTATAATTAAATATTAAATAAATTTATTTAGCCTCTGTTTGACATTCATTCTTTTCCCATTCTTTTTTTCATTTTTTTCTCTTTCTTCATTTCAACCACACATTCTATCAATAAAATAATATTATATATAAACCAAAAAATTCTTCTTATTTTTTCACCACACATTCTTCTATCAATCATTATCCCAAATCAAAATTTTCTCCAAAGTGGGTGTTAAACACACAAGTATGCAAATAATTAAATTATTAGAATATCGACAAGAATTTTCTTTTTTATAAAGAACGTCCTGTATATAATAAAGAAAATCTTTATTATTAGAGAGTAAAATATTTTATACACTCGAACTATACTCCCTATTTTAATTCTTTATTTTTTATTTTAACAAATAATTATTATTTTAGGTGCATGTGGGATGCGTTAATTATATTATATTAGAATCAAATATTTAATAATAAATTGATTTAATAATTTATTATTTCATAAATAAAAATTAAAAAAAAATCTGATTTTTGAAATTTGAAACTTGTTTTGTTAGTTTTGAAATGACACATACTTAACATCTTAGAAATGAAGTTTTCTCTTAAAAAAATTCCTCATTTACCATCCTGGTCAATTAATTAATTATTTTTAATTATCAATTTTATTTTTTAAAAATATTTTAAATTGCAAACATAAAAATAAAAATATAACATAATAAAACAAAATATTCTTACAGGTTTGCGGATTTCATGGCGTGAACCATGTTTTTCACCTCCATCTCGTTTACTATTCGTGGCAGGAAATTTTGACATGCTTAGATTTTTCTTGAATTGTAAAGTTTTAGTTTAAAAAAATATGTCATATAAATTTCTATTGATAAGTTTACATATGTTAATATTTCAGTTATGTATACAGAATACATATAATTAAAAAACTTCAAATCGACTATTGCTAAATTTTTCAACAAATTTTAGATTTCAATTTCCACTATCATACATATTTAGAACTATGTATACACAAAGTATTAGTTTATTATTAAAAGGAAAAAAATTAAATTATAATTAATTGTAGGAAGTTTCATCTTTTTCTTCGTAATGACATTTTAGGTATATCAACATCATTTTAAACGATATATAGCTAAAAAAGTTATCATTTGATGTATGTGATGCTCAAATCTAGAAATAGGTTTTGAAATAGGGGTTAGTGTGATATTTTAAATGTGAATAAGAGTCCGTTTGATAGATGAATGTGGAAAATAATTTCAATTTCATGTTAATTGAAAAATAAAAACCTACCAGGCTCATAGAAATTCGTTTTCCCTGAAAATAAAAAAAATGCAGCTTAAAATAGTCGTACCTTGGAATTCAATTTTCATTTCCATGTTGCAATCAAACGGTCAAAGACTCAAAGTGTAACCTGTTTTCCTCGAATGTGATATTTTCCATGGAAAAGTTTGCAATCAAACAGGGCCTAAGTGTTTATGATATTGTCGTAAAGTTACGAAAATGTCTTTGATAATTCTTTCTCTTAGCCTTGTACCAGTTACTGAAATTAGGCTTCCTCAGTTTATAGCCCACTGAAATGACTCATTTTATTAGAAAACACGGCTCCCATCCTGTAACTATAAATTGTAAGGAAAAAGGAAATAATCAAGAGGGCTGCAACCAATTTGAAATTTCTACATCGATCCATATGAAAAGGTTACAAACAACATATTTGGTATGCACGACATAGATGTATATAGAATAATAGACAATATTTTAACTTATTTCTTCTTCTTTAATACTATCGAGTCCATTGTACCGAAAATGCTAGAAGTGATTGCATGGCCCGTTTAGCAGCGGCAATCACGAAGTTACAAGGTGAGTCCCTGCCCGATTTCCTCTCAATCTCATGAGAAGCAAGCCTAGCAGCCATGCTATAGCGTGTTCTCAAATGTTGCATATTAGAGTATACCACGGACATTGGTGATTTCAAGGTACTATTTTCCCTAATTTTACCGAATAGAATCTAATCTCTACTTGCAAGAGCAATAATTACTAAGAAAACAAGAAAAACAGGCACTAATAGTAGTTCAGCCTCAATGTTGTCTGTTTGCTGTTGCACGTTTTCACATTAATGAGGGAGAAGAGTACAAAGCGATCACACGCCTCACACACATACATAACAGGCTGCGTAAATCCTTTATATAGTAACAGTAAAAGGACGATCTAATACATGCATAGAATACTGCTCTATGGAATACTCAAGTGTGCAATATGATTAGGTTCCACAGACCAACGCCAACAAGTTTAAAAGTGAATATTTTATACAGATTAACTGATAAGTAAAATCATTGATAAATGAAACTTACCAAGCCAGTTGCATATGAAATCATACTCTCCAGCATATACAAGTAATTTGATTCCATTCTCTAGGAGTGGAGGAATACCAACTTCAAGATTCCTCATCCAGTCCATGATCATCGCCTCGTGTACTGTAGAACTGCATGAAACAAAATCTATGTTCCCAACACCAAGAGCGTCTTTAACCGATTCTTGGTTCAACAAATTCTCCACATTAGAGAAATCGTAGCACAGGCTACCCTGACACTTTTTTCGGATATCATAATACTGCAAATGAATGACAAAACAAATGCCTCTTGCATTAGACAATGTTTTTCTGTGTTTCGTAATCTGTGTACTATGTATATGTTTGGCAAAGCTTAAGTTTTTTAAGCTGGTCAATATAGCTTATAAGCACTTGAAAAAATTTAAGCTTTGCCAATCAGGCACTTAGATAAGTCTCAATTATATGATATGCTTGCTTACATTTTTATCACCTGCAAGTTCCGCTGTCTTATTGAAAATGGTGTTGCAGACCACGTATGCCCCAACACAAGAGGTTCCATCCTCGGTGCCTGGAATCGAATTTCTATTTCAGATGAAGCAGAAATAACAGCCAATTATCATGAATCACATCAGAAGTAGACTAAAAATCGCAGGGAGGGGGTGAGGGTTCAGATTGTCCAAGGATTTGGAAATTAGGAATTACCACAAAGCTTTATTGCCTGTTCGCATTGTGAAACTGACTTGCTCATGCTTCTGTAATCAGATTGTTAGATCAATTGCATGTCCAAAGCATAATCAGTATATGTTTTGTATTGGATTTCTGGATTCGTGAGTCCATTGCCAATAGAAAATTCCTGGTCAACTATGAGTGATAAATCAAATAATCAGGCTGTGAACTGGAATCTGAAAGTACTTACAAAAGTAATTGAAACTTAACTTCAGGTTAATATAAGCTCCTTATTTATTTTTCTTTCCCCTATGTACTCGAGCTGCTAAAGCCGGAATATAATGCCCCGCATATGATTCGCCGGTAATGTAAAAATCATTCTTAATATACTGGGGATGATCCTTAAAAAAGGCCAAAGAGTATCAAACACAAAGTGCAACATAGGCCAGTCTTATAATCTGTTGAGGTGTAGCAGATTGTTATTATCAACAATCCTAACTGCAAGTTTGGTATGCACTGTATACTATTTTAGCTTATTTTTCTTTTCCATCATCCACTACCGTCCAATCCTCCCTACCAACCGTGAGACAAAAATGCCTTTATCCACCAAGATAGAAATTAAGTAGCTATTACAATTTATGGATTTCATAATTTTGGTGAAATACAAAGATATGGAAACAGACCTGCAAGAAGTCGTACAGATCTTCACTGTGCCGAATGTCATCAGTGTGAGAACTGTTGGATTTTGGTTTTGAAAGATTGAAATTTGGTTAAGTAATAAACCCAAAACTTGAAAAAAGTGACTTTCATGTCAACTTCGGCCAAATTTTCAAACTTGATCCGATGGTCAAATTACAAATGTAAATATATGAACTTGTTTTACTCGTTGAGTAGATCGTCGTGATATATTTGAAATCTCAAAACCAATTCCGGATAAATAAGAAATTTCAGTCCAAAGTTGGGAATAAAATAGAGGAAGCTGCCTCGAAAATTGACTAAGGCTGTTGCTAGCTTATCGTTGGGTTATCGCTCAAGCGACATGCTAGCGAAAAAGTCACTGTTTTTATCACTCGAGCGAAGTGATAGCGACAGTGAAATATGCGACCTTTGGCAAGAGTTGTCGAGTTTGGGGCGCAGCACTTCATTCACAACCCCTTATCCTCCATATACAATACCCCTTGGACGTCACTTTTGCATTCCATACCATATGTGCATTATGCATTCATAAAATATCTTGCAAAAAATCTTTCAAATCCATTCCAAACCCGTTTTCCTTGTAGAGATGGAATTCCATCACGCTCGCCGTTGTCTTGTGGTTTGAAGTGCTGCTATCACAAGAATTGAATCGGTTATATTTTGGAAGACAAGTGCCGACAACCGTGAGCATCATAGTGGGGCAATATTGTCTTAAGGAGAAAGTGACATCACTTGCCTCGGATTATCATTTCCTACTTCTTCTACTTCTTAAATTTTTTTTTTTCATCATTTGTAGTTACAATACTGCTATTTTTCCAACATATTAAACATTGTGTTTTAACTACGCTTCCGCGGGTTAAAACTNTCGTTTGGGAATTGAAAATTATTTAATTTCCGTTGTGCATGTTAAGTAAATTCTCAACACCTTGGAACAACAAGAACTATAGCTAAAACCCGTTCCTATTGGTTGGTCGACGTATATAAGGTTTGAAATCTGGAATTTAGACTTTTGATATTATCAGCAAATTGGTTGATGTGATAAATTTGAGTCCCCTAAAATCTTTGAAATAGAAGTTTTAATATGAAGACTACATAACAATAGTGCTATTACAAGTTATTTCTGAAATATATAACCAAAAAAAAAAAAATCCCATTCACTACAATTATGTCCGGCTTTATCAAGAAAAATTCCCATAAAAAATTATTAAGAATGAAACAGTAGCATAGTCTCAACAAGAACATCAGAATTGAAATTTAAAAGTTCAGAATATGGCAGATTTCTACTTCGTAATCAATCTAGTGAAATTCCTGTAAAGCTTTACACGTAGAGTTAAAGAGAGCAGAAACTTTTCCCTTTTGATATCGTAGCTAACCAATTACTTTCCTATCAAATTTAATTTTAATCTTTCATGTTAAAGTTCATGATTAAGATTTACGATGCCTTCTTTCGCCTTACCATGATCTTTTTTTCTACTGCTTTCAGTATCAATCAAGCATGCCAAGTTCCAATAGAAGAAGCAAGAATTTGCTATTGATGCCTTTCTAAATCTCGCAGAACATAATACGATATTCTCGTAATAAGTTTGTCCCACTACATTTTCTCCCCCACCAACTAATCATACACCCCTGCTTTTTGAATATCTTAATCCTAATTCCCAATTTTGAGAGTAATAAGAAGCCAACGTAAATCTAAATTTGCAACGCAAATACATAGATTTATTGTGGTTCATCCTCAAATTGAGAGCTATAAATTTTCACTATTGAGAAGAAGTTCACAATGGTGATCTCACTCCTCTCAATCTATGTTGCACAGATAACGGCCCCCTTGAAAATCTTTTATATATAGGATCCTTAGAACGATGTAATACACGTGGAAATATCCAATTAGGTCAATCAGCAATCGAGGCACAAGTGTACAATGAGGCTCCAAGCTAACATTCCAATGCCAAATAACGAGCAGCAAAAAATTTATTTCACTAGTTTCTTTTTGCACATTCACAAATAGCACTTTGCAAACTAATATAAGTTTGGTAGTCTCTCAGCATATTACCAATATGACTTGAACTCGATGCTTCTATAATAATAATAATAAAAAAAAAAAGGGTCGGAACCATAATCTGGTCCTATATTCAACAGATAAAAGTTTAGTTCACAACCAAAACCCAAATAAATTTTCTTTAGAAATGACGCTACTAGTACATTATTCCTATTGTAATATGACACTAATCATGTTAAGAATAAAAATCACATATATTAATTGATAATTTGAAATTCATATATGCGGAAGATATTGTTATGTATGAATATTACCAACTGGATCTTCATCTCCTTGCTCTTCAAAAATAATCAGCCGTCAATGGGNTCATCTCCTTGCTCTTCAAAAATAACCAGCCGTCAATGGGGAAAGCCAAAAACATATAGAGAGGAGAGGAGACCTAACCATTATATAGGAAATTATAAAGCCGTTTCATTACCAACTCTAACCCTAATTGGGGTTTACATAATTCCGGTCCACATACTTAAAGTTACCACATTATAATAATATAGCCCGTAAGGAGTACATCGACCTAAGTGATCACTAACATATTGAGCTTTATCACAGTATCATTGCAAACCATACATCTAACCCGTAATATTCGTAATCAAATGAAAGCCCACATAATAGAATTATTCTAACATTTCTCCCACTTGGGCAAACATTTGATTGCTATAGAACAGAACTTCTAACCTTCGGGTCAGATTACATAGGTGGCCACTTAGGTATAACTGCAATGATAACACCTTACACAACATGATCCGGTCCAATAAGAATGTCAACATCGAACATGGAA